TTCCTGTATCATTCAACACTCTACCCAAAGCATCCGTAAGCAATGCCACTCGTGGCTTGAATTTGTTTTTCAACTCTTTTAGCTTAAGAAAAGCTGAGTTCGGCCCTTTTGATTTTCCAACTCCAGCTCTTTGCACATTTCATTATAGTATCTTGCTTTGCCGTCCCGAGCTGCCCTTTTAAATTTTCTGTTCAGCTCTTTAATTTCTTGGTTTCTTCCTTTAGCTTTGGCTTCTCAGCGCTCCAATACAATATTCAGAGTGTCATCTGACATCCATCTCAGTCTTTTCTTCCTCTTCAGCCTTTGTAATGGTCTTTTGCATTCTTCATGGACAATATTTTTTCTATCCTCCCACAGTTCATTTGGTCTATGCTCATTGGTGCTCAAAGCCTCAAACCTGTTGTTCTTGAGATGTTTTGAATTTAAGTGGGATAGATTTAAGGTCAAATTTTCGTTCCCATGGATTTGATTTCATTTTCTACAACTTCATCTTGAACTTGCACATGGGTAGTTTGTGGTCTGTCCCACAATCAGCACCTGGCCTGGTTTTCACAGCTCCTCCAGCGATTCTTTCCACAAATGTAATCTGTTTCATTCCTATGCATACTATTAGGTGGAATCCATGTGTATCGCCTGCGTTTGTGTTTCTTACAAAAGGTATTTGCAATGAATAAATGATTGAATGTGCAGAATTCTATCATTCTATCTCCAGCCTCATTTCTGTCATTGAGTCCATGTTTTCCAGCTACTGATCCTTCCTCCCTGTTCCCAACTTTTGCGTTTCAGTTGCCCATTATTATTTATGCATCTTGATTGCATGTTCGATCAGTCTCTGACTGCAAAAGTTGGTGAAATCTTCCATTTCCTCCTCAGCAACTTCAGAAGCAGATTATTTTTTTTAATCAGAGCAATAAAAGGAAAGTGTTGTCAACTTATAAAATGTATGGAAAAGGCTATATTTTAAATGTTTTTAGAAACTAGCATGCTTTGGTTGTAGTTGCTACTGGGTGTCGTCGCATCAATTCTAACTTAAGTCAATTCTAAATCCTACACACAAGAGAAAACACTGCTAGGCCCTGTAGACCTTCACCACCATCAGGCTATGTCTGAGCCTACGGTCACAGCCACTGTGTCAGTTCTTCTCATCACTGACCTTTTCTATTTTACCAAGTGTGGTGTTTTTCTCCAGGGACTTGTCCTTCTTGAAAAGATGTTCATAGTAGATTGGCATCTCATCCAAAGGAGCACACTGCTGTATTTCTTCTAAAACAGTTTACTCATTCTTGCGGCAGTCCATAGTTTATTGAGTATCTTTCTCTCATTTCCATCAAGTTAAAACCACCTCATATCTGACCCTCCCCTGGGTTTTTAAAGTTAGACGCTGCCTAGAAGGAGTCTGTCTTTCTCCCAAGAAGGAGCTGGTGGACTTGAACCAGAGAGGAACATTTGTGTTAGCAGTGTTGTCTCCCTATGGACAATGCCACCAGAGCTCCCTGGTGTATTTAATACTCTTCATCAGCACCAGATTTCAAAGGCATCGGTTCTTCTTTGTTCTTTCTTATTTATTTTCCAAACTTCCCATCTGTATGAAGCTACTGACAAGATCATGGTTTAAATTAGACACATCTTAGTCCTCAAAGTGATAGCTTTGGTTTGAAAAAAAAGAGATTTATGAGAGAGAGAAATTTCTTTTTCAGCATATTTGTCCAATGCAGTAACATCACTTGATTTCTTGACTGCCACTTCCATGGGCAATGATTGTGGATACAAGTAAAATAAAACCTTTGACAACTTTTAATATTTTCTTCTTTTGTTTATTGCTACAGTTGAGAGGACTCCTATTTTCTTGGGGTTGAGGTGAAATCCATGCTAAAGGTTGCAGTCTTGGATCATAATAAGTAAATGCTTTAAATTCTCTTCAGTTTCAGCAAGCAAGTTGTACTACCTGCATGCCACACAGGTTGCTGCTGAGTCTTCCTCAAAATCTGATACTTCCTTCTTCCGTTTACAGTCCATATTCTTGGATTATGTGCTCATCATACAGACTGAGTAAGTATTCCTGAATTTAAACCTCACGGTATCTATCCCCTTTTTCATCAAACGAGTATCTCTTGGTCTATATACAGGTTCAACATGAGCACAATTAAGTGTTCTGGAATTCTCATTCTTTACAATGTTATAAATAACTTGTTCTGATCTGCATAGTTGAATGTCTTTGCATAGTCAATAAAACGCAGGGCAAGTCTTTCTGATAATATCTACTTGGTTATGCAATACGGACCACAGACTTTGACTGTGATTGGAAAACTAGCAAAGTTAGTATGAGTCCTGAAGATGACAAAGAACAGAGAGGTCATAACTCTTGAGCAGGTTTCTATATGGAATGAAATAACTGGTCTTCTTAGGTCATAAAAGTTTAGGTTTGGCATATGAATAATAATGCTTTTATTTGGGAAACTATTAGAGAAAAATAATAAATGCTAGAGTAAGTCTGGAAATAAACTTATAGTTCCTAATGTGGTCCCCATTGCTTTTTTTAGATGAAATTATTCTGCTATTAAAAATTATCTAATACAGGTATTTTAATGGAAAATTAATCTTTTTTCTATAAACTTTCATTTAGATCACAATTAAAGATTGTTTTTTAAAATGTATGTAACTTTGAATAGACCATAAGAAATACCATTTGACAGAAAAGACTCATCTAAAGTAGAGATTTTATACCAACTTAAGTGATAATTTGTTTGCTGTTTCACAGAATATTCTGTGATTTAAGCTAAAGATAAATTAATAAAAGAAACAGAGTATTTCCCAAGTACAATCCATTACATTCTTTTTATAAAGCCTCCCTCCATCATTAATACTAAATAACTAAGTAACTAAAGCAGTAAATAATAACTAAATAACTAAGGCAATTCTTTTTATTAGTTCCTTTCATTTATCATATATGTAATATCTTGAGACAGGAAATGGAAAATATATCAACAAGAGTAAACACTGTCTGGATCTTGGGGTCTAAATATTTTTGTTCATTAATGCAAAGAAATGTATTCAAAAGAGTTGGCATTCTAAAAACACAATCAAGACATTCCTCCATCTCTATTCTCTTAGATTATCTAACACAAGGCTGTTCCTCCTTTAATTTTTTTCTTAATGCCATCTGCTTCTTCCTAGCCTGACTTTTCCTGAGCTTACTTGCTGTCTTTATTTGTAAGGGCAGAAAAAGCTGCTGCTAAGAAAACAGCCTGTGAGAGATGTCCTTATCTGAGGAAGTAGTCCACTGGACCAACACTGTCCACAGAAAGTAGGAAAGCTGAAAGAATGATGCAATTCAGGAGGCTGACCGAAAATTTTTATCACTGTATTTCAAAATGAAATGTTCCCTTTTACATATAGATTATTGAGTTATAGGTTCATTATTTATCTCATTGGCTATGTAAAGTCTAAATATCCAGTGGGTACACTTACCAGGACCCAGAAAGCAAAATGGTTAAGTGCTGAGCTGCTAACTGAAAAGTTCTAATCTATCCGCTGGGTTTGGGGCTTAGCAATCTGCTTCTAGGAAGACTATAATTAACTAACTCACTGCCACCAAGTCAATTCTACTACATCCTGTTTCGTAGGTTGTAGATCTCAATGGGAGGAGACTGTCCACCTTTCTTCCCACAGAGCCGCTGCTGGACTCAAACCCCTGGAGGCACACAGCCTTTTGATTAGAAGCACAGCATACTATGTAATTCACCACCAAAGCTCCTCATAAAGACTGTAGCTTAGAAAACCCTATTGGAAAGTGCTACTCGGTCAAATGGGGTTGCTATAAGTTAAAAATCAACTTGACACCACCCAACAATAACATGGGAGAACTGTCATGAAACTGTCAATAGCCAGCTTTTCTACAATTTCATAAAGGTGGTTACAAGAGAAATTAGAATAATTGGCTCATATCTTTCCAACTTCTAGAAAGCATGCATATTGACATACACACATTCAACTGTTTGTTCTATGTTCTCTTCCTCTAGTGAGGACAGCTCACCCTTCCCATGCACACATACAATATGTAAATTCACGTTACATGTGAAAAAATACATGCTATCCAGACAATTCAGAAACTCTGAAAAAAATCAAAGAAATGATGCCATTTTTTTGGTAAAACAAAAATATATGCATACATATGCGCAGTGAAAAGAGAAGGATGTATAAATATTCAGTCTTAACAACAATGGGGATTCAGGAATATGGGTGGTTTCTATCTTGCCCTTTGTGAGACTACTTTCTAGCTTTCCTGCAATGAGCTGGAACTTTTGCAATCAGAAAGAGGGAGAGAGAAAGATGCTAGGCTTCTAATCGTAAAGCAGCAGTTAATGTGGATCAAAGACATACAGAAGCGTATCTTGAAGGCTCATCAGCGTTCCTGAAGAACTCTCTATTAGTTGGCAAGGCTCCCCAAAGTCGAGTGATATCCTCTCTATCCCTGGCCTCAACACAGAGAGCAGGCTGCGTTGTTTCATACAAACTTGATCAAGTCCTTCTGCAGCAGAAACTCCTCGGGACTCTCTGATGGCCCCGCCCTCCGGTGCTGAGGACCCCTGGTGGGACCTCGCGCCCCGCTGAAGGAGCACCTGAAAACTGCCCCCCCACACACACAGCCTGTGCTCCTTTACCTCTTCACCTATTCCCCCACCCCTTCCTTCCACACCACACCCACGAGCAGTAGGGGCAGGAAAGAGTGATTCCCACGACAATGGACAAGTCATTTCACCTCTCCAAGGCTCAGTTTGTTAATCTATCACCCTCCTTCCTAGAGAAGCAGATCGTTCACAAAGTCGGAGGGTTTTAAAAAGCCAGGGATGGGTCTCATCACTGCAACAGCCCCTTCCCTCCCGCCCTCTCGGGGCGCCCGGCCCCCGCCTGGATACCTCGGGGCCAGCGGTCCTCCCGCGCCAGCCCCGCCGTCTCCCCGCCCCGGGACGCGGCGCCCGCCCGACGCGCACCCCCCGCACCTGGCAGCTGCTGTCCTGGGGCAGGTTCTTCACCAGGATTTTCCTGCGATTGCTCAGCTCGCGCCGCATCCGCTGCAGCCGCGCGGTGACCTCGTCGGGGTCCAGAG